TGGATTATGAAGGTAGTGCTGTTCAGGTCATCTTGCCTGAGGGTCAGACCTTCGGACCGACCAAGTGGTAATGGGAATGAGACATCCACTCGTCAAACTCCGCTCATGTTTACATCATTGATGTCCTATAATTAACGTGATAATTATTTCCGCGTCTGATATATACGAAGATAGTTATGAAGTTGTAATTGAAAGTCATTGTCTATTCCTTAGACAATAAAACTTCGTTTCTAACCTGAGAATTCGAGTAGTACTTGGTAAAATGAAATAGCTAACTATCTAAAAATAAATAAAAATGAAGATGCGCAGTTCGGCCTTCCAAAGTATGTTTCCCAGAAAACGTCAGATGAAACTTCGACCATGCCGACAGAAGACAACTGTGTGCCATTTTATTCCCCACTAAGCCATCTCCAATGCTTTCATAGGTGCCTGTTAAACACCGTAATGCATGGTTTTATGGTCTTAAAAAGCTTTCCTGTTATTTGCTTTGGTTTGTGCCAGAAAGCGCAGTGAGCTCAGATTATGCGCACACAGAAGCTACGCACTGAAGAAGACATGAAAAAAAAACATACGTAAAAAGAACATTCCTAAAGCACGTATATATCACACACTAGTCAACCTATGTTTGATGCTGTGGCCTCACCATGGCAATATGCAGTGAGACTAGTAGTTGACATGCTTTGTGTCCCATCCCGTAGCCCTTGCGATGTTTAAATTATATAGCATGGGTGCTCTCTAATTTTTCTTTTTATAATAGGCTCACATAAAAATTTCAGAATTTTAGTGGTGTACACACTATATATATATCCCTAAATCTAAGCCGACGACAATATTTTTATACACTGTGAATAGGTAGACCCCGGCGTCAGGCGGTCTACAATAAAAACCATAGAGATATATCAAGGCGTTTTCGTATTTAATCTTGATCTTTTTTGTTTAAGGTGATCCGCTAGATAGGGATAAGTACGGGGTAATAGAGGTATCATTATTCGGTACAGGGAATTAATATGGGGCTGAGCATAGAACAGATCATAGAAGTACTACTAGTATGTGGCTGGGGTGGATTTACTATGGTGATACCATAATAAAAAATAGCCCTTGTATTGAAAATAGAGTGCCAAGGGGTATTATCCCCAAGAGGGTTTAGATATGTGTGCAAGTAGGGATTTTGTTGTGGCAGTAGGGTTGGGGCACAACTCTTACACCACTTTAGCCTATACTTCAGACCGATATTTATCCGGCTATTTGATATACCCCAGAAAACGCCATGCCAATGTGGAGACGGGGGATTGCTCCGTCTCTTGATAGTGCTAGCTCAGTTCTAACGATGCCAAGCAGAGCACTACTGCAGCCGTTGAGGCCAATTCGATCCTATTTGGAGCTTTCGGCTTCATTTCCGACGCGAAATGGTACGCCAAGTGGTATGACCTCGTGCCTTCCTCACATGCAATGATGCGACTTGTCTGCACCCTGAGTCGCTTGTCTCCACAGTGCAAGGGATTCAATTGCCGGTCGGCATGACTTTATATGAAGAGCTTCCCCAGGAATTTCTTTTTCTTCATTCCAACCCCTGTGGAAAAGAAGCTGTTGTCTTCTCGAAATGGTGGCCAAGCTGCTTTCCAATGGGCTGCTGCTCGTGCAGCTCTTTGCTGCCCTAGCTTTGGGAAAACCGACCTCCACCCCTCTCTACAAGGATCCCCATGCTCCAGTGGAAAAGCGAGTGAAAGACTTATTGAGCCGGATGACTATTGAGGATAAGAGGTCTCAGTTGACTCAGGGTATGATTTTATCTCAATCCCCACCATGGGGAGTTCTAATTGCTGAATGATGCTTGTGTAGGTGATATGGGAAAATGGATGAATGAAACCACAGGAGCGTTCAACTATACCGGGCTGGTAGACCAAATGGCCGAGAGGTCAGGCATGTTCTATGGTATGGGAGTCCTCTATTTCGCTGTTGGGTCCTTTCCCACTAGTCCGCAGAAACACAAATACTAATGACTTGCAGTCGGATACCCTGTTCCTTGGGATTGGATCTCAGAGAACGTCAAGAGAGCCCAGGACTACCTCCTCCACAACACCACTCTGGGAATTCCCGCGCTTGTTCAGTCTGAGGGTATGTACACAAAAGCATAAAGTCTCCAGTTATATTGGAACCCAAACTCATGATATTTCTTGCACCAGGTATCCACGGATTCTTGATTGGCAATGCCACTATCTTCAACTCACCCATTGCCTATGGATCCTCATGGAACACAGATGTAAGTAACGATTACAAATGTACTGTTATACATACTGCTGTTGAGTTCTAACACGATATTGTGCAGCTTGTCGAAAAAATGGCGGAAATCACCGCACAAGAAGCCTTAGCACTGGGTGTTAATCAGCTCTTCGCTCCTGTTGTTGATCTCGCTCGTGAGCCTCGATTTGGTCGGGTAATTTTCATCTCTATGTCAACACATTCAGCGCAACGAAGCTAACGACAAGACAAAAGGTCGAAGAAACCTTCTCCGAGGACGCTTTCCTTGCCGGCGAAATCGGCTATAGCTACGTCAAGGGTGTACAGGGCAAGAATGTATCCGCTATGGTCAAGCACTTTGCGGGCTTCAGCGCCCCCGAGCAGGGTCTAAATACTGGCCCAGTTCACGGTGGTGAAAGAGAGTTGCGCACAACGTATGTCAGCCCCAAGTTTGGAGACTAAACAGTTGACTGATCATTACATAGATGGCTACCTCCTTTCAAGCGAGCTATCATTGATGCCGGTGCTTGGTCTATCATGGCTGCGTACCACTCGTAAGTCTAGCCTGGTCCCTTTTGTCTGATATTGCCATTTTAACATTCATTTCTAGATATGACGGAATTCCTGCAGTCTCTGACTACCACACTCTCACCGAGATCTTGAGAGAGGAATGGGGATATGAGTACTTCGTCATGACTGACGCCGGTGGAAGTGACAGAGTGTGCTCCTACTTCCACCTTTGCGAGAGCGATCCCATCGACATGGAAGCGGTTACCACGCAGCTGCTGAATGCTGGAACCGATGTTGAGATGGGAGGTGGTTCATTGTAAGCTCCATTGAAATCCGCACAATACAGATACAGTTGCTGACTACCGAATAGCAACTTCCAGAAGATCCCCGAGCTTGTCAAGTCCGGCAAACTCGATATTAAGGTTGTGGACACTGCTGTCTCCAGGTTGCTTCGGGCCAAGTTCGAAATGGGTCTCTTTGAGAACCCGTACCCTGCTGCGCCTCAGAACGAATGGCATAAGCTCATCAACGGCCCCGAGGCTGTGAAGATTGCAAGAGACTTGGATAAGGAGTCTATCATTCTGCTTGAGAACCACGATGACATTTTGCCTCTGAAGAAGTCGAGTAACATTGCCGTCATCGGACCCATGGCTCATGGCTACATGAACGTAAGTTCAATATTCTTATTTACTTGTCAGCTGGGATATATACTAACGACGCTTATAGTACGGTGACTACGTCGTCTACAAGAGTCAGTACCGGGGTGTGACTCCCCTCGATGGTATCAAGGCTGCAGTTGGCGACAATGCCCAAGTCAACTACGCCCAAGGATGCGAGCGCTGGAGCAATGACCAGTCAGGCTTCGATGAGGCAGTCGAAGCCGCAAAGAAGTCCGACGTGGCTGTCGTCGTTGTCGGAACCTGGTCTCGCGATCAAAGGGAAATCTGGTCCGGAGTGAACGCAACGTAAGTAAACCAAACTTATTTCAAGATATATCGAGCAAGTTTCAGTTACTGACAAGCAAAAAGAACTGGCGAACACATCGATACAGACGACCTATCCCTCGTCGGCGCCCAAGGACCTCTTATCAAAGCCATTGCCGACACCGGCGTGCCAACAATCGTCGTTCTATCAAGCGGCAAGCCGATTACAGACACCTGGATCGCAAACTCAACCGCTGCCCTCGTTCAGCAGTTCTACCCATCCGAACAGGGCGGCAACGCCCTCGCCGACGTCCTTTTCGGCGACTACAACCCCTCCGGTAAGTTATCCGTCAGTTTCCCCCGTTACGTGGGCGATCTCCCAATTTTCTACGACTACCTCAACTCCGGACGCCTCATGGGAAACCCAGGCCACAAGTATGAGAATGGAACCCTCGTCTTCGGCCAGTCGTACGTTCTCGGTGATGCCTCGCCGTGGTACCCCTTCGGCTATGGAAAGAGTTATTCCAGCTTCAAGTATGGAACTGTTAAGCTCGACAAGAGCAAGATCTCTGCTTCTGAGAAGACTGTCACTGTCAGTGTTGATGTGACTAATACTCATGCTACTCGTGAGGGTACGGAGGTTGTGCAGGTTTATATCAAGGATGATATTGCCTCTGTTGTTGTTCCTAATCGCCAGCTTAAGGGATTCAAGAAGGTGGTTATTCCTGCTGGAAAGACTACGACTGTTAAGATTCCTATTAAGGTTGAGGATATTGGTCTTTGGAATACCCGGATGAAGTATGTTGTTGAGCCTGGTCGGTTCACCGTCCTTGTTGGTAGCAGCTCTGAGGATATTCGTGGCAACGCTACGTTTATTGTTCAGTGATTGCTGAGAGGTTTATGTTGGAGGGAAATTGGTTATTAGTACATAGTCTGTTGTGTGTATTGTATATATTTAACACTGGACAATTTTCAGATATCCAGTCAAATTCTTCTATATCCTCTCCTTCCCTTAATCGTATTCTTAAATAGCTTTGGGGACATGCATGTTATATTTAATCATCTCTTCATCTATCCATGTCACCTCATATATTCCTTCGGACACTTCCATTTGGCTAGGATTAGATAGAAGTCTAACAGTTACCTAGGCACTAATCTATTCAGAAAAAATAAATATGGATGATAATTGATTGTAACCGAAACTTCATAAATAGTGTCATGGGATCATAAAGGCTCTGAGTATGCACATGCAGGATATCTCATAAAAATTGGGTTAAGCCTGAGGGGACTGAACGCTGCTTTCAACGACCGAGAATGGATGTTGCGAGACTATGCCGGGCTATCACCCGCAGCACGAGACGTTGTTTGACTAGCAGAGGAACCTCGACCGGGATCTGGAGATGATGAGATTTCCGACGGCTTGCTAGTACCACTGGGAGGCGGATTGCTCTGACTGTCCCCGGAGCGACCCTCCGCTCTCCGAGTTTTGGCACCCTCTTTCAATTTCTCCCAGCGGTCTCGATATCGCCCAAGAACATTTTTGAGCTTGTCATTCTCGTGCGTAGCGGTTTCAAGTTTTTTCTCACTACGCTTGATCTGCTCCTCGAGTTCTTTGATCCGAGCGTCAGTATCAGCCGCAACTGGCGGCGCGGTCAGCGTAGCAACAGGCGAGGTAGTGGCCGTTGAAGGCTGGAAATAATCAGGCGTCCCCCCGCTTTGGCGGTGCATCATTCGGATTGATTGCTGCAGCGCCAACGACGAAGATTGCGCGCTCACCTCCCACATATGCAATCGTGTCGCAAGCGAATCGGTCAAGCCCCTCAATGTCTCATTCTCCACCTGCATCTCTTCCATTGTCTTCTGTGTCTGCGGGGTGGTAAGCTTATCGGGTGCGCCGCGTCGACCCGCCCATATGCGTGAACCGCTGGCACTGTGACGCATTTCAGGAGATGAGGGGGTCTCTCGCGCATCCACAAAGTCGTCATCACCATCCTCGAGGCTGTTCCTGCGTGCCTGCCTTTCGGCTCTGGTGAGGATTCCTGCGTATGACATAGTCCCGCCTGTGGTTGGGACGACATAGAATGACTCTGCTGGGTTCCCCGGACCTGCCCCAGAGCCGTCCCGAATCGACCGCAATGCGGCTCGAGAGAAGAGTTTGTTCACGTCAGGTTCACCCGCGGTTATGGAGCGATCTAGAACAGCATGTTCACGATCCAGTTTCACCTCGGCTGAGGACTTACGGCTTTGTTCAACGCGGACTGGATCGGCAGACCCCATTTGAATCCCCGCGAATGCCAAAGGCCCAGACACCTTGGAGACCAATCCCCCGAAGGCTGAGTAGAAACGGTTGAATGCTTCATCAGCAATTGCAGGCTTATCTTTCGATGCCCCGGATTCAGCTGCACTGGGGGGTACCGTTTGCTGGGAAACGACCTCAGTGGAACTGGGGGTCGGAGGAGACCATGGTTGTCTAGGTGCCGAAGCACGACCGTGTCGACTTTTAGCTGGTCCGTCACGTAGCCTTGTTTCGCCGGCTTTAGCCTTCGGTGGGGGTTCGGTCATCTTTGCTGCGACATGTTGCGATGTAAGTGTCGGCGACACTGGCGATCCACGCTGGGGGTGCGACGGGATTCCTCGGGCGGATGCCAGATTACTAGCGATAGAGGATTTATCCCGACTTGGTAGACGAGTATTACCCACCAATCTTGGTGGTAGGTGTGCATCCTGGTTCGCACTTGCGCCCTTTGTGGCCCCAAGATCACCTGCGGTCTGCTGGGTCGCTAACGTGGATGAGGTAGTAGTAGCGGATACTGTTTCGGCAGGGAGGGTGGTTGGATGTTCATGCTGGAATCGGAGGATCTCGGCGAGTTTCTTGTGGTGAGTTTCGAGTAAACGTAGAGTCCGTAGCGCCTATGACGCGTTAGCTCAGAGCCGAGTGGGGGTAGATCTTCTACTGAATCAAAACTCACCTCATGGTCGGAGCTGTTCTGTGCAGCGGTTGCAAATTCACCAGCAGCTAGATCATGCTCCTCACTGGCAGCGACTGGGTTGGCCTTACGAGTCTCTAGCACGGCGTTCCGCGCATGAGTGTGGGCCTGGATGCGGTCAGAATATCCTGGAAAATGAGGGGGGTTGAGGTCTTACCAGGGCCAAAGGAGCTATTTCCATGACGAAAATAAGTTCACATGTAGGAGTTCAGCGAGAAAGATGAGGTGCATTCCTTTGGGATTTATCCGGGGAATGTTGGAGAAGTGACGTTATGCGAAGTGAATGGGGTTGGGATTTGACAGTCGCACGAGCGATACACCTACATTTTGTACACCAGAGAACCCTTGAAATCAAACCAATTCTCTTAAAACTTATCAAAACACATCTTAGATCCTACATATGCAACTAAATAGACCGAAAACAGCGAAAACGTCAAGTCACATCCGCATTCTAAACAGTGGAGAAGCGGAGCTCAAGCATTAGATGCTTATAGCTATACTGTCACCTCGTTCTTGGAGGAACCAGGGAATTAGGGAAATTGCAAGAATAGAAAAAGATACCAGAAAACATATCACTAGTCCAAATCAAATCAATTGAACAGCAACAAACAGCAAAGAACAGCAAAGAACAGCAAAAGATAGTCTCAAGTTTCAGAAACCCCCCGGTCGTAACTTGGCGGGTGACTAAGTTGCGGAGCTCCAGGGGATGTTCGGACAATTCAACACGTCGCTCTCTCTTTTCACTTTGTCTCTCCGTCGATGTACGGAACTTCTCTTACATAAAAAGAAGAGAGAGAGAAAGTCTTCAACATACACACCTCATGACAACTTTTCCTTGAGTCGCCCGGTCTGCCCGCACCAACCCCCGATCCCCATTCCCTCTACATTCCCTCAATTATGGCCGACTCTTCGTCTTCAAGCTTGAGAGGCGAAAACAGATCGCGCCGCTCCTGGACAGTATCTGCAGAATCAAGTGCACTGGAGAGCAATGGTCGCTCATCCCATGATTCCACCCTCGAGAGACCAAAAACCCAAGGCGGAGAAGTAGTAGATCCCAAGGCTGGCCCTAGTGGATTCTCAAAGCTACTCGAGGCGCGTCGGAGGCGGAAAGAGAATAAAAAGAAGAATCAAAAACAATCCGACGAGCCACCGGTGCCCACTGTGGTTTTGGAAAATGACCTACATGAAAGCCGATCCAATCAGTCCCGGGATGGGACCTCCGCAGCCCCGTCGTCGAACGGAGAGAGCTTTGCGCCGGAGGGCGAAGGCAATAGTCTGTTGACCGATGATGAAGAGCCAGACGGGTAAGTTGAGAAACTAGCCCTCTTATTATTTTGGACTACTCCTAATCAGCTGAGCTTCTTTTAGGCCTCCGCCGCTCACCTCGCATAGCTCCCATGCCGGATTCTACACCTCGTCCTCACCTTTGTTTAAGACCAAATCGGTAGATGCCACAAACACGGAAGACTCTCACACCGATGCCGAATCAGCTGTTAGCGGTCTGAGTGCCACTGGCTCAGAATCAATCCCAGGCGAAAGAATGTCCCGACGCGCAACATCGGGCATGGCATTGGATGTCCCCACGGACGCAAATGGCAAGAAACGCGGGATATCTCCTGGAAGACGCTTTTTCAACTCGGACAAGAAAGGCGCCAATGACGACACTGAGGATTCATCAAATAAGTCTGGGGGCAACAAGAGTGGGCGGGGTCTGTTCGGAGCCAGCCGGCGGAGCAGTCTATCATCGAAACGAGCACAGGCAGCCCCCAGCGATGTCCCGCCTGTACCTGCGCCAATTCGTACCGATCTAACGGACAACAAGCCTCGTTCGCTTGAAGCGAGCCCCATGCCGAACACCCCCCTCATACCGCTATTCCTGCGCCAGCGACAACTGTAACCCCTCCAACACCAACTGAGTACCGCCCGCTCAGTGCGCAAATCTTGTCTAACAATGTTACCGATTCACCCGAGTCTCTACAATCTGAAAATTCTCCGTCCTCCGGAGTCACTACCGTGAGCCCCTCTGGAAACATGATCTCCCACCGCCGGGTGCGGTCCGCTTCTGCAGCTCATGGCCCAAGTAAATTGTCCACCTCGGTGTCTGCATTGACGCCTCTTGAAGAAAAGACTCCCGGGGCGAAGAATGTGCCTTCAACCCAACAAAGTGGCTTCTTCTCCTCGGTGTTTTCAGTGGCGCAAAACGCTGCCACCTCCTTCAGCAACACTATCAATGCACAACAGAAAAATCGTCCAATTGCCCAACCTGTTCCTGCTGATGCAGATAAATCTGTCAATGAACCCACTCCGGAGGACGGTGAAAGAACATCAGACAACGGCAGCAAAATTGCGGAAGGGAGACCATCTGCCGTAGAGACTCTCGGGGCAGGCGATCTGAACTTCAGTCATCTGGACATCGACGCACGACCCGGTGAGTCAATCACGACTGCCGACGGCGTGGTGATTACAAAACCAGGGAACCCAACTGACAAGCGCAAAAACACAGCTGTTTCCCGGCGAGATGATGAAGCTGCCAAACTTGAAGATAAACGCGCAGCGCGCGCTGTTCAAGTAGCATACGCGAGGCCCTCAGATGCTTCATTGGCGGGCCCCACAGAAGAGGCCCTGGAGATTCAGTCTACTACCTCACTTCCGAAAGATGGCCCAATTATGGGTGATCAAACTCCCCCCAGTGGTAGTGTCATTGACGGTGACCTAAGCGGTGGCATTCGACGCACGGGTAGTGTGCGCAGTAGACTTGCCCGGCGCCATCGGGGCTCGTCTGGGGCTACAACCTCGACAATCGGAGCGATTGGCATGAATGCCATTGCACTTGGTGCTCCTGGTGTCAATTCTAGTGTGCCTCGGTTGACTGGTTTCGCGGTTGCGAGTAAAAAGCGCAATCGGGACTTTCACCAACTGTTCCGAAGTGTACCCGAAGATGATTATCTTATCGAGGATTATAGCTGTGCTTTGCAACGTGAAATCATTCTTGCTGGCCGCATATACATCTCGGAAGGCCACATCTGCTTCTCTAGTAACATTCTGGGATGGGTCACGACTCTAGTGATCAGCTTCGATGAGATTGTTGCTATAGAAAAGGAGAGCACAGCCATGGTGTTCCCCAATGCTATTGCCATTCAGACACTCCACGCGCGTCACACTTTCCGCAGTTTGCTAAGTCGCGAGTCCACATATGACTTAATGGTTAATATTTGGAAGATCAACCACCCCACCATCAAAAGCTCTGTGAACGGAACCCGTGTGACCAATGGAACCGGTGATAAGACAGAGAAGGTTGGGGAGGGGGAGGAGGAGGGAAGCGGATCCGAGAGCGATGTTTCGGACGAAGACGAAATATATGACGAGGACGAGGAAGGAGACCATGCCGATAGCTTCTTCGAGGCCGGTGACAGTGCCAACGCTAGTGCAGCATCATTGCCAGTGCGAAAAGGATTAAGCCGCAAGGCGTCCAGTCTGTCCGCGAATGCAGCTGTGCCAGCAGCCAGCACGAATGGAAATGGCGATAAAAAGAACGGAGACAAAGGCACTTCCAAGGATGCGCCTGCTGATTTCCCAGGCCCGGCTACACATGCACCCACCGAATACGTCGACGCCAACGGACAGTATGAAAAAGTCATCAAAGATGAGATAATTCCAGCACCGCTCGGCAAGGTCTTCTCTTTGGTTTTTGGCCCGGCGTCCGGCGAGTTTATGACCAAGTTCCTTGCCGAGAATCAAAAATGTGGAGAGCTACAGTTCGAGGGAACAGCGAAAGGCTTAACGACCGAATCCCCAACTAGGAAGTACTCATACATCAAACCCCTCAATGCTCCAATTGGCCCAAAGCAGACGAAATGTATCAGTACCGAGACCATGGACTTACTAGACCTTGAGAAGGCCGTTCTTGTCACTCTGAGCACCCAGACACCGGATGTGCCCAGTGGCAATGTTTTTGCAACCATGACCAAGTACCTCTTTACATGGGCTCCTGGCAACCAAACTCGCTTCCTCATGACCTGTACTATTGAATGGTCAGGCAAGAGTTGGCTGAAGGGCCCTATTGAGAAAGGCGCAATCGACGGGCAAACGACCTTTGGTAATGAGCTTGTCAAAGCCCTGCAAGTTGGAGTTGCTCCCCGCGGGCGTACGAATGGTGCGGGACGAGGCAAAGGAAAGCGCAAGAAGGGCGACGGCGCAGCGCGGGAGTCAGTCGCAGCTGCTTCGTTGAAGGTTACTGTGGATCCCACCGCCGGAAAGGGAGGATCATGGGGACTATTCGAACCAGTCCGCCCCCTCCTAGAGCCCTTCACCAGCGCTCTCAGCCCGCTATGGAGTAGCAACGTCGCTATCCTAATTATCGGAATCTTATTCTACATGGCGTTCTTCCGATCCTCGTCATCCCCATCCGCGCTTTCACATGAAGTCGGCTGTCCCGGTCACGGCTTGCCCCAGAGACTGGCTGCATATGAGGAGATGTGGCGACGTGAAGAGACTGAGCTCTGGAACTGGCTTGAAGACCGAGTTGGTATGGACGGAATGGTCTTTCCAAACGTTTACCGATCGCCCGAGCCACACCCAAGTCGCAGGTCATCCGGAGTCAGTACAAGTGATGAGCGTGAGCTCGCTGCACGGCTTCGGGAAGAAAGGATCTCTGACCGCGAGATGGACCATGCCCTCCGTACCACCCGCCAACGTCTCGACGTACTCGAAGAGATGATGGGCAAACGCAAAGCCCAATGGGAAGCCGAAGAACCAGCCAAGTCCGAATTGTGATGGGCGACAATGTTTGTCCCTCCTTGCACATAAAAACCAACCAAGCCCTCTCCCTATCCCCTATCCTTTCTACACTTGTCTCCTGAGAGAGAAAGCCTTTCCCAACACCCCACAAAATCTATTTCCTTGTTTTTACAACTTGTTTTATTCTCAACCATTTATCAGGGTGTTCTCCTGGAGTTATGGGAACAAGCAGAGCTGTTCCCTTGCTGTTGATATTTATTCCTCCTCACATTCATTCTCAAAACCCTACAGTCATTATCACAACTTTCCCTGCTGTGTCCTTCGATACACAGGCCGCCTTTCCTTGCATATACATGAGCGCCAACTATCTTGTCTCTACCGGTCTACAAGCTACCAGCTTCGATTTTCTTTCTTACCATTCTTGCTGATTGTTCATCTGAGCGTGCTGGCTACTTCTTTTCTTCGCCCCATTGGGCTTCTGTGTGAATATCTCGAGCTAATGCTATGTGATTTACATATTGAATTTAGGCTATGCCTGACAGTCCTTCTTTGCATTTGTAATACTAGATCAGTAAAACGCTATTCTTGTTCATTGAGGGCTATAAAACCAATTGGCTTTAACCCAGTAAGGAGCACAAGAAGGATTCTCCTGAATGGTTGAAGAGGTTGAAGTAAAGAGAGCTGAGGATGTTAGGGACCTGGTCGAACAAATGGGGAGTCAGAGGAGAAGATTGACGCCGGCCACGGATATCTATACAGTTCTTATGTCGAAATTGCTGGCCTGGTATGTTACTCCGTCAATGCTTTGATCAATGAAGAAACAAATTCTTCAAACAGGGTGACTTCATCCCACAATAGATAGCTCCTAATAGCAGGATAGACAGTTATGAGACGAGATATCCTATATAAAATTCCGAGACTGCGTTCGATCCTCTACCTATTTCCTTATCCCACGCGAATTTCATACGTGTTCCACCCTACTTCATTTTCACTTTTCTATCAGATACCTGTTGCAACTAAGCTGCGTCTTACTTCTTCTTGATGGCAATGGTCTTCTTGACCAGCCCCAGAGCCAACCTTTCTAGTACGGTAGAGCTTCACACTAATTTTCTAGGGTTAGCTCCAACAACCCTCATCACTTTCTGTCAGCAAAAGACAATCACCCACAGACATTCCTCTTGTTTCTACTTGTCCCGGGTATTTTACTGACAGTCCATACTCGAGGAAAATGGCTGAACACCAGCTACCCGTGGGCCATCAGCCTATCGCCCTCCAACCAACCTCGTTGAATGGGCTTCCCATGGAGCTCATACTCTCAATCTCAGACCTGCTCCCACAAAAGATATCCTTTGACTTTTGATAGGCAACCGCCGACTTTTCATGGCCCTTCATCACGATAAAACGACTCTTCCACGGCAGTCAGGAAGTGACAAGCTATCATTGCTGCACCAAATCGAACGCGACCTCCCCCATCATTTCCTGTGCTACTGCTGCCTCATTCTCCACAAGTTTGATGAACCAGAGGAGTTTAGGCTGAAAGGCATGCGGGTGATGAGCAGATGTCGGCTTCCATGTGTCGTAGACTATCTATAGCGGGAAAACGAACTGCAGATTGGCCTGGAGCCCTCGAGTTTCATATGAGAGTGCTTCTAGTGATTGGCCACGAGAGGCGTTACTTTCGCGCAATCTCTCGAAAGATACAAATGTCTAATGAAAATAGGCCTATGGAGCACATGGGTCTCACCATCTCCAGAAAGACGAGTTGAGGCTGAGGATTGAGCTAATTCAATGATAATTCGATTGGATATTGCAAATGAGCATGAGATCAAAAATTATAAGCTTCAGGATAAATCAACTACCCATTCCGGCTTTGACCGAAGACGCTCATCTCGCTATTCTTTGTGTATTTGTCCCGTATGAGCTTCGTATTCTTTCAAGGCTTATTGTCCTGGATATAGGATGCGGACTGATCTTTATTACCCCCGGCTTCGTCTTATTAGTTGCATTTGGAATATTCACCAGCCCAATATTTGGCGTCAGCTTCATCGTCACCAACCTCATCCTCCTCCATTCCGTTGGATTTGATGGGGCTAGCATATTCTAGGCCCCCCGCTGGGTCTTCGTTGTCGTCTCCAAATTGGTTGTTACATTCTTCGCCGGGTTGGTCTTTTTCTTTGGCTCGACTTTTGGCTTCATTTCTGGCTTTGTCTTTAGTTCCAGTTTGCTCTTCGTCTCGGGCTTGCTTTTCGTCTTTGTATCAGGCCTCTTTGCGTCTAGGGTTGCCTTAGTCTTCGATACTGGCTTTGGGTTGATCTTTGCCTCTGCTTTCAGTTTGGGATTTATGTCGGGCTTTGCGTTGCTCTTCGCCTCTGGTTTGTCCTTCGTCTCTGGATTGCTCTTCATCTCTGGCTTGAGCTTGCGTTTTGTCTCTTGTTTGGGCTTAGGTTTCGTCTCTGTTTTGACCTTCGCCTCCGGGTTGCCCTTCGTCTCTGGCTGGATCCTCGCCTCCAGCTTGAGCTTGGGTTTCGTCTCCGGTTTGTCCTTAGTCTCCGGCTTGCTCTTCGCCTCCTGTTTCAGCTTGGTCTTCGTCTCCGGCTTGGGTTTTGTCTCTGGTTTGCTCTTCTTGCCCTTCGCCTCCGACTTGCTCTTCGCCTCCGGCTTGGGCTTTGGTTTCGTCTCTGTTTTGCTCTTCGTCTTCGTGTCTGACGTGCTCTTCACTTCCGGTTTTGGCTTGATCGTCACGAACGTTACTGTTGGTCTGACCAGGATCACTTTCGGTTGTACTTCAACCATCTTAATATTTCTGAGGTCTCGTAGTTCTCAAATTGGTTATGGTGCAAAATATTTGGATAGCAGCGTCCTCCCGAATGCCTACCTGGGTGATTCATTAACTTCTTTGTCAGCAGCGTGGTTGGGCACCTAGGCGTCAGCATCAGCCTCAACCTCGTATTCGTCTGTATCGAGGTTAGCGTCAGCAGGACATCACCCGACGGTATCTTCCTTGTCTGTGCTTTCGTCTCTAGTATCACCCTTGTCATTGTTATTGTCGCTGGTCGTGTGCCGTTGCTAGTGTGAACGGCGTGGACTTGAACAGAACTCACAAATGCGGATGCGGGTTAATCCCCGCCATGCAGGCCATCATGACCGATTCAATAATTAGACAACCGGATACACTAGTTTGTCTGACTTGTATTTTGATTGTACCTGACACTCGATGTACTACTTACTAGTGTGTTGAATGAAACCGAAGCTGAAATATATATTTAAAAATGTGATGGGCACCACCGTCTACTACGTCTGCTCCGGGGATAGAATTTGCTCTAGAGTAATCCAAATAAGGTATTACAAGTTCTACTTTGGGGAAATTCCATTAAATTCTAATCTGCAAGCCATTTGATTATTTTGATATTGGATTTGCCAATCCTTTAAACATGCCTCAGCCTATAAGCAACGTAAATCAACCTTGGAACGCTTTGGTTTTTGCTTTCATACGATATAGTCAAATATGTCGACTGGGATAGTGGAATCCTAATTGTGGTGATCTTACAAAATGGAAATCATGAGGTAGAACATTGGTTGCATTGCTATGTCCTGTGTAAATGCAGACAGGAATCTGTAGCAACAACCGGTTTTTCTTTTTTGTTTTCCCTTTTCTTTCATATGTAAAATTTGTGAAATCCTCAAGTGCAGGCGCCTATCTCCATGACCTTATCAATTCCAAGGTCCGTTAAGTTCAAAAAGCAACACACCTACTCCCATGCTGGGCCGTGTCCCTAGTGCTCTGTCTCCAGCCGCGGTAGGAGATATCTCGTCCACTGCTCTGGCTTTGGCCCGTCGCACTTCCACCAGTTTCCATGGTATCCCCTTCGGCGGGTGAGATGCTGGGCTTGCGGCATTCGTTTACCAAGAGCTTGCAATAGTAGACGAAAAGCTGGTAGTCCACGGGTCGTTCCAAATTCTTCACCTCTTCCTCAATAAACGGGATCTTCAAGACTTCTCCACGAAGCTCTTGCAGAAGTCGAAGAAGCGCAACTTCGCAATCGGGAGCGAGGTTCTCTGTCTTCAGGCGGTTAAACTGGTTCTGGTACGCCATGGTGAAATCTGTAGGGGTAGCGAAGTTCTTGCGATTCATTCCCTCCCATCTCTTTAACTCGCTCGCAACGAACTTGGACTGATTGTGCAGGCTCAACAGTTTGATTGTGCTGAAGATCTCGTCGGCGTAGGTGAGCTCGTTTGAATGTGCTTTGACATTGAGTTGAAGTGCGACCTCGATTTGGTTAAACAACCAGGTAGCAACAACAAGAGTCCAGTATTTCCATCGCTTGTAGTTGAGATCTCCTGGCTTGGGCCTCGGAATATCAGTGCTCACGAGTGCATCGAGCTTGAAGGGCCGCAAGACATGAAGGATCTCATTGCCCCATACCGTAAGGCTAGACTCTGGCTTGAGCTTTGAGATGTCTAGAAGGGTTGCAGGAGCCTCCTTGGGCAAATTGGTAGCCTGAGTGTGCGGCGGGGCGGAACGGATTTTAGGCTCGGCATTACGCCGGCCGCCATCAGGGGAGTCGGAAAAGAACGACATAATAGCCGATGAAGGAGCTCGAGTAATGGTAAGAATAAGTGAAATGTCTGAAATTTGTGACTTTAAAGAAGATATTGTTAGCAACTCATCGCAGTTCTCCAAAGGAAATGTCATCAACTTACTGTGGATGGTTCAGATCAAAAGTGTATGTTTTTCTGGCTGAAGCAGTGTCTGCGGTGATTTTAAGAGGAAAGAAAGAATGGAAGAAGAGGATGAAGAGAAGAGAATTTAAAGGCGTCGTTTGCATGTGGAAAGAGCACAAACGAGGCAGTGGTGACCGAGTATAGTCAACATAGCATAACGCTTATGTCGGCGTAAGTGAAGTTTAATAGTCTCATTTTAAAATATTCAACCGCCATCAATACAATGTCATTTCCGTTTTTGACCACCAAAAAAGACCTTGTCATAAGTCTTAGAAGCAAAGAGCCCTTTAATTGATATAATTTTAGCTAAAAATCTATCAGCGCGCAATTAGCGAAATTTGCTGCCATTTTCTCTATGTTCCAATCACCATGAGCTACGGCATATTTTGACACTGGTCCGCAGACTCATTAAATCAGATTATGCTCATTTCATATTGGTAGCATTCAATCCATTAGTGTTTCTTACAACTGGCATATATCGGGGGTGCGTATATTTCTTAGGGCCAGGGGGTCACGTGAATGATCTATACAGCCATCTTCCACAAGGGATCAATGAAACTACAAAAAGCAAGTTGAGACGCGTGCTGTGACAACATCACCTGGAGTATGTCTGTCATATATTAGCTTATAATTGTGGCTCAAGGCATACGTATGATGGATGGCTTCTCTGCATTGGCTAATCTACATTATTCTCTGTACATTTGAGCTTTCTGTTGCGAGTTTTAATACACTGTATGTCCCTGATGATACCTGGTAGTCTTTCATTATATACTGTATCTTAAATATTATACCAATATGACATTCACGGCTAATTGAGCCTGGGTCGGTGCCATTCATTAAGCTTCAACCTTTCCACCTGCCACGCTCCGTTGTTGAGATAAAGCAATGGCTTGATTTTTCGGTAGTGATGTTTTCCACGCCTTGACGCCTGAGTTAAAGCCTTCATCAATCTGCTCCAGTGTAATTCCAGCAGTCTCTGGCATGAACAAAAAGGTTAAAATCCAGATTACGGCAGTGACGCCTGCGTAGAAATAGCCCACACTGGCACCCATGTTCCCGTGATTGGCATCCAACATATAGGGCGTCCAAAATGTTGCACCAAAAGCAAAGATACCATAAAACACCGTTGTGTTGGCTTGTCCGAAAGTGCGAAGTGAGACACTATGCATCTCCACAGAAGATAGGTTAGCACTCGCAGCAATAGTCCCACCAAAGACAAAAGCCCACAAGCACAGAAGAACGACCGTCACGATTTCTGCTCTTGCATCATTCTCGAGAGCGGTGCTCACAGAGGAAAGAGTGAGCATGCAGGCACCCATGATAGCATAACCCCAAAGCATCGCAGCTCTCCTTCCGCCATATTCCACAATGAACGGGCCAAATATTGATCCTCCTAGGATGCATAACCCAATGATGACATTGATTAGGTATGGATCGCTGACGCCAACTCCTTTGAGGAACAGAGTAGCGTACGGTTGTACAAATTGGATACCAGTAATAGCGAGTCCAACCATGATCATGGCAGAGGTGGAGGTGCGACCAATATGCTTGCTGCGGTAAATATCGAAGAACGAGACAGCTTTGCGGGTCGCACGTTCGCTCTCAATGTTGGTTCTGATATCATCAATCTGTGCAGTGATTTCCGGCGAATATGGACTTTGGTTGTATAGCGCGCCGAATGATTTCCGCGCCTCTTCCTCTCGGCCATGTCCCATGAGCCAACGTGGAGATTCAGGGAGCATCAGAATACCAGCACCTAGAATAACCCCCAGAGGTATTTGACACAGAATTGGTGTTTTCCACTGCCAATCGTTCGTTGGCTCCAGACGAGCAGAACCTGCACACACGGCGAAAGCACCAACATTCCCACCAGCGAGTCCAATATTATACAACCCTAAAGATAACCCGCGCTTGTTGGCGACGATGCACTCGGAGCCATATGTCACACTGGCTGTCATCAGCTGTCCAATTCCCACAGCACTGATCGATCGGCACACCATGTAGCGCAAGAAGCTGCCACTGGTGCCAAGCATTCCAGCGGCACCAATGATAGCCAATGTACAGCCAACCTGGATTGACCCCCTGCGTCCGATGTATCGACCGGTGACCCCCGCTATCCCGCCTCCAATAGCAATGAACAGGAAGTTGAGACTGATGATGGATTGTTGTAGTGGCGTTAACGAGCAATGTTGAATCTGGGCATACGTGTTCGGGTCTAGGACTTGCTCGCAGCTCCCAAATGCGTGTTTGTAAGAAGGCATGACCAGGACCGTGCCGGCGTAGCCATTGTCGAAATTCGAGATCCATGCGGAAAATGAGACCCATAACGAGAGCCGTAGCATGGATCCGGTTGTGCTCGGGGCATCCTTTGCACTGATGTGTTGGGTAGTGGAATTGGTGAGCGTGTCGTTAGAGCTGGGCTCAGGCTCTATTTTGGGGGTTGTATCTTGCAAATTCATGCCGGGCGGATTTGGAGTAAAAAAAAAAAAAAAAAGACAATATTGCTTGCTGAGTTCAGTTCATGGCTATTGAGGATGGAGGTATGGACCATCAGGCGGAGTATATATGGAACATTGAGGTGGAGCTCCTGGACGCTACATTCCGAAGCCGAAACATATCATACGTACACCTTGTCAGAAAGAATGTGAGACATGATCTACCTCTAGTGGAAGGCTTGGTAGTTCCCAGCCCTAAAATACCGCTGGGAAAAAAGCAGAAATGGCATAGATTATGACAATTGCAATAAATGCATTGTAGGGAATCGGAGAATTCACTGGCCGAAAACATTCCCAAGCTCAAGAACCTCGCGCTAGGAGGCATATATTTCAGGTCCAAATTACGTCAAGAGGCAGGTTTGCACTATGTAGCATCGCGTTGTGCTTGAATATATGCATACGCCTTGCTGTAATAGTAGTTTAATAAAGATATTATGAGATTCCATTGCTTCTAAGTGTGTTGCTTTCAATGTGGTTGGTCAAGAGGTCAAGGATCATCTGCGCTTAATACGATTAACGATAATTAGGGTTGTCTTGCAAGAAAATCATTGTAGGTCCCACATATTAAGCATCGTATTTTAAGAATTTACCTTCCATACAGCGATTCATCCCGCTTCGGAGCCATCATAAACCCGAAGGCCTTATAACCAAGAACGGAGTACTAAATCATGCGACTGAAATTTCCTAAATAAAAAAGAAGAGTTCTTTATGACACACCCTGCGAGGGGTATCATAGGGATGCATCACCTGCTGAAACCTACAATCAAGATAACCTGGTATGCTGACCCAGACCCGCTCTTTTTTTTGATATTCATTACCCTGCTTATCTTTGTCCACTACGTAGTACACATAACATGATTTTCTGATAATTAAGATTGAAGGAAATGTTCAAAATATATAGCTTTGCTTCTAGATTTGTCAATAACGCACGTGGGAAAGCAAGCGCATCACACTATTTGTCGATTGATGGCGGATAATTTTAGTGGCTGCAGTCGCATTAAACTCACCGAAGCCCCGACGCCCAGATCTAACTTGATCAGAGTAAGACACCTTTAGCTGAGACTTAATTGAGACCTCATCCCTTCTCAAATGTCGTGATCGCGTACCTCTAGATAGGGCATAGTTCCAGATCACGTGTCACGCCAGATAACACGACGCTCCACCAAAGACCTGAGGAACGACAACTGAAGATGGAGCTCAAGACCGTTCTAATTCTTGCTGCGATATACATTGGTAAGTAATGCCACGCACTATATACATCCTCCAATATCTGCCCGCAACAAAACCTTTGGCCTACATCCAGCCTAAACAAACCGACCAAAAACTAACCCCTCATAAGCTATCCGTCTCTTCTTTAAGTCACGCAACTCGAGCCCAGCAGCCACTATGTCTCACGGAAAGGTCACCGAGATCGACAAGTAAGTCATTATTGATTCTGCGCTCAATATGTTTGATTCTAATATCTGCCAAACAGCCAAGTCATCTTCAAAGCCCTCATCTCCTCCGGCCCCGTCGTCGTTGACTTCTTCGCAACCTGGTGTGGACCCTGCAAGGCCGTCGCCCCCGTTGTCGGCAAGCTCAGCGAGCAGTACGAAAATGTTCGTTTCCTCCAGGTGGATGTGGACAAGCTGCAGAGTGTCGCCCGGGAATTGAGCGTCAACGCTATGCCCACCTTTGTGGTGTTCAAGGATGGCAAGGAGGTCAACCGCGTTGTTGGTGGTGATATGAAGAAACTCGAGGCACAGATTAAGCAGATCTTGGCATAGACACTTTGCGCTTTGTCTTGGTCGGTGGCCCTGGGTACCTCGGAGTGGAGTTCATCCAGCCCCCCTCATACCCGGGACATTGTATGTTTATCGGTATAATCGGTGTAACTCACGAATCACGAATCGAAATTGTGACCTATCTCTATGCAAGTAAATGTATCAAGTGAGGCTGTACCATGCACACCTCGAGGTCCGGAGTACTATTATCAAGTGATTCCGGTGGGCGTCCCAGATTGACCCGGGCTTGGGCATTGTTGCATATGCGCCGGATTTCAGGCTGAGATAGCTTTCCCTCTTCGCTTTAGTGCTCTTCCCTTGCCGCTTTTTGATCGCTGGGTAAAACAGAGCATCAGCTTGAGCTTTGGGCGTGACAGGTTAGGTGTCTAAGTAGTATTGATGATCTATACTTGCATGTCCGCGAACGTCTCAGGCATAACGACACTTGATTGCTTTCAGTGTTTTCTTTTCTTTTCTGTTCTTTTCTTTTCTTTTTATTCTCAATTAACTTGTAGCTAATATGAAGCTATGGAAACAGAAATTAAGAATTAGGACAGCAAATTCAGTTCGAGATTATCCCAACCATCCAAGATAACGCCTCTCAACCCTCTACGGCCTCAAATTCAACTTGCACAGAGCTTGTGCACTGAATTACCTGCGGACTCAACTCGAGTGCCGTCGAAGCACGTAAATACGAGTTCCAGTTGTAAGTAGACACATCCAGGTTAGATGGCGGACCAGCGTTTGACTGGGTCACCCCTTGTTGCTGCATTTGCTGGAACTGCATCTGGTTCATCGAATGTGATTAATTTAGTCGATATTTCACTCCACAGTGTAATCTGCTCCCTGACCCCCTGATTTGCATCGCATGGACTTCTTGTCCAACTACCCTCGCGTAGTCATTTGCTTTCTGGACGGCATTGCGCATTTCCTCCTTACGGGATTCAGAATTTAGGGCCATTTGCGACGCCTCGGTAAGACACCAGTTGAGGGACTGGATCTCCAGCTCGACGTTGGAGTAAGTAAGCAGCTTTCCGACAACTTCGTTTAGCTTGGCGAAGTCCTGGAAGAGCGCGTTGAGCGACCAGGTCGCACGATAGACTGCAGGTAGAGGCTTGCCCGACTTATCCGTCGGTCTTTCACATCGTGTTTGTAGTGAGGTGGAAGAGAAAGAAGCCGCCGCTGGGCCGGGAATTATTTCGCCTGTCTCCATTTTGGGGGACAACTCTTTGAAAAGTTGGTTGATCTCATTAGATGTCTCGGTCACCTCTTTAGATACGCTTTCTCGGTTTGGCCCAGTCGACGAGACGATAAACCTGAGGGTACATTGTTCCGGCTGGCGGGAGATGCGCCATCCAGTACAACCTTGAGTGGAGCCATTTTTGTCTTGGAAGTTGTACCATAAAGGTTGTCTTACTTACATAGGCAGAACTGATGTTAGGAAATAAATGATGATGGGGCCCGCCGGCCAAAGCATGATATTGTGCGGATGTGGATGTCGGTAAGGATAGGTGTGTTGAAGAACGTTGACTGACCTGGTTATCTTTTATAGACGAGGCAGATACCGCTTTCCAGATCCGCCACACTGTTCAGGACCTGAAAGTGGCCCCCCAAACTAACGCCTTGGGCTATTATTGGAGGTTGACGGAGCCGCATTGCGGGGTACTCCGTACTGAAGACCGCCTTGCAACTTCCACTCTTTGCGCTTGTGGACTGTTGTCAGATAATAGAAAAGCCCCCCGTAAAAAAGAGAGACTCACAAGTGACACGCGAGTTTTAAGCGTTCGTGGTGTGTTTGGCTTGTTTGCATATGGAATGTTGATGCGGCAAAGCCAGGGGCTGCGGAGCCTTCTCGGACAACGCGAAAATCCCGCAGTGATATATCTATAGACCTGTGGCCCTAAACCCATACTGCATTATCAAAAGTTGATTTCATTTTACTTGCACCATTGTTCATATAACACATATCCAACATGTCATGCAGCGACTGCTCCTCAAACAAACCCTCAGAGAAAGCTTCGTTCAAGTCTAACCCAGACCATGACGGGTCCCCTCTACAAAGACTCTTTCAAGTAGTCGTCAACTACCTACCAGAAGGATCGGCGTTGCTCTCATCATCATGTTGTTGGCTTCCAGTATGTCGTTTCCACATTACTAGGCTCGAATGCATATGCTAAGTTTCTAGACCGTCCTAGACTTCCTCTTTGCGGGTTCGGTTGCCACTGCTGGCATCGAGAAACTGCGAAATACTTTTCTGGCAATTTCTATTCTGACCCTGATCTGGGGTGTCTGGCGTGAGGGACTCAGTCGCCGAATGGTGTGGCGGATTGCGATCTGTGTCGGATTGTCAGCTTGGGAGCAAGTGAATCAATTGGGAAAGGTCGACGGAAAGGGACAACACAGCTGCCATTAATGGACGACAGTTTCGGTGAAAATGGGATTATTTTAGTTGGTCTTTTTTTTAACGATGTTAGTGTGACTGTCGAGACCTTGACGGAATGAGTGAGTCATCAAGGCACGAATCATATGGAGGTTATGACCCATTGCTCGTAATTTCTATCAAGCCTGAACGTATCTGAACCCATAGAAAGTCCTGTACGCTATATTGCATAGGACTTCTTCCCCTTCACTGCAGGGCTCACACAGCGGGTCACTTGTGCCTCCCGTCGCGTATTATTTATCCCGAGTCTAGTGCTGCTCTTCGAGCCATTGCAACAAGCCCGCTGCCATCCAACCATCTATGGTTGTGATATGGAAAGGTGCGTCGTTCAACGTTTAGCATTTGATGGTTATGATTGTCAATATTAAATAAACTTTTATTTACTAGCACTAGCATCGTCCATGGAATCCACAGATTGATAATATGTGATCCACTTACCACGTGATTTGGCTCTTCATTTCCTTTCTGTTAGGCCGTAAGATGAACATCCAGGCTACTTGACTGCAACATTATTCCCAAGGCTGGGTATTCTGTGAAGTACTCCGAGAATGCGACCTCTATAAAGCGGCAACTCATTGGCCCGACTTCAAATCCAGTACATAGAGCGATATATTTGCGGATAATTTTGCGGATATATTAACAGCATTGATTGGTCCAGAACCTTCGAATATGCAAGGTGGCGCATCCCGTGCACGTGGAATGGTACCCAATGAAGATATGGGTTGTATTTCGCCCATGAATATATCAAGTGGGTTTGAAACTGCTTCCAAGGTTAGATGTGTCATATTTTCGAAATATTGCCCGTTCTGTCTCTCCGTAGTATACTCCGTACGGAGTACTGATATGTAGGTTCGCCCGAAGATATCCCGGGGCTAACCAGATGAGCCCTAAGGTAACACCGTAACGGGTCTAGAAATAATTTGCAATTTGCCGGTTATTTCTGAATTTGTGAAGATATTTCAGGGTTAGTTATGAAGTTGCCTACATGTATGGATTACTTAAATTTTAGATGGTTGTCTAGATACCATAAAGGGTACATGTTCATTGAAACTATAACATAGGACAATATTAGGATGCTTCATGTCCCCTATAAATGAATCGTACTCGCGATATTGAATGCCAGCTCCCTCAACATCGATGTACCAGTCAAGATATCTAGAACCTATTAATGTTTGACATGCTGCCTTGCTACACCCTGTAAAGTGGAGGGCACTAATTGGCTCTTCTCCATAACCCCAGATCGATAAACGCTCGGTTCCATTTGCTCTAGAACAAGATCTTCTGCAAGATGTGATTGAATTTATAATCATAACTGCAGGGTGATTACGAGTCGTCACGAGTCATGTTGACTGGAATTTTGCGTTTAATCCCGTTTAGGAGCCCGTCTGCTTGGCATCTTCAAATCTGGTCACTCCACCGCGGAATATGCCGTCTTTGGAGGCTTGACCCCACATTTGTTTGGGTTTAGGGGCATTTCGCTTGGATGTAATTTTCTTCCGAAGCCTAATCTTGAACACCGCTATTTTCTTTATGCCTAAAAAAAAAAAAATTAGTTCCGGGGCTTGGTGGAGCCTAGGGAGGCGTTGAGATACTACCCGACTTAAGCCAAGGATTGTTCGGGCTTAGCTTCTTCGCTATCTTCTAGCTTCTTTTTTTTCTTCTTCTGTAAACGATTTGTTTCAGGGGTTGCAGACGTTTCTATTCCACGTTTATTCTGTTCTTTCCCTTTCTGCAGGAAGTAATTCAATACAACACGCTCTCGGGGAGTACCCGTGGACGTGGCGGAGAGTTTATAGGGATCGGCCCTCGGCACACCTTAATAACTTAAGATCTTCAATGACATCCAACGTCGAGTCGGACCACAAGCTGGTCATGGCGGAAACCAGCAGTAAATCAGATGCAGATACTCTGGATTCAAACAGCTATGGACGCCAGCTGGAAGAAATTCGCATCGCCAACACGCCGGCTGATACCTCGTTCCAGACGGGTGTCGATGTTACGACCGCCGAGAAGGACTTCTCCGAGTTGAGCAAACAATTCTCCAGTATCTCGCACCAAGCCCAGAGACTATCCCGACAAGAATCACGAGTATCTAAGATGGGAGTCACCTCTAAAGATATCGAGAAAGCTGAGGGCTCTACTGCGTCGGATGATTCATGGGATCTGGAGACGACTCTCCGTGGCGATCGTGCCGCCTCCGAAGAGGCTGGAATCAAAGACAAGCATATTGGTGGGTAGACACTCAACTTGAGGGGAAAAAAAACAAGTACTGACCGTGTCCGTAGGTGTGATTTGGGACAACCTCACAGTTCGTGGAATGGGTGGCGTGAAGACATATATCAAAACATTCCCAGATGCAATCATCGATTTCCTCAATTTACCGGGAACACTTATTGACCTCTTCGGTTGGAGAAAGACAGGACAAGAGTACAACATCTTGGAAGGTTTCCGGGGTCTCACACGCCCCGGTGAGATGGTCTTGGTCCTTGGGCGTCCTGGATCAGGCTGTACGTCTTTCCTCAAAGTTATCGCGAACCAACGGTTTGGATACACCGGGGTAGATGGAGAGGTCCTCTATGGCCCCTTTGACTCCGATTCTTTCTCCAAAAGATTCCGCGGAGAGGCCGTGTACAATCAAGAGGATGATATTCACCAGCCCACCTTGACTGTGAAACAAACCCTTGGATTCGCCCTCGATACGAAGACACCTGGAAAACGCCCATTCGGTGTCTCGAAAGCCGAGTTCAAAGAGAAAGTGACCAACTTACTTCTGAAAATGTTCAACATCGAGCACACTGCCAACACTGTGATTGGAAACCAGTTTATTCGTGGTGTCTCTGGAGGTAAGTGGACTATTTCAAATACGCAGCTCTATGGGAATTGGAACTAATTAGAACAGGTGAGCGGCGTCGCGTGTCCATTGCGGAAATGATGATCACCTCTGCGACTGTATTGGCTTGGGATAACAGCACTCGCGGACTGGATGCCTCAACTGCCCTCGATTTCGCCAAGTCGCTACGGATTATGACCAACATATACAAAACAACAACCTTCGTGTCACTCTACCAGGCGTCTGAGAACATCTACAAACAGTTCGACAAGGTCCTTGTGATCGACAATGGCCGCCAAGTATTCTTCGGTCCTGCATCCGAAGCAAGATCTTATTTCGAAGGCCTCGGCTTCCGCGAAAAGCCTCGCCAGACCACTCCCGACTACTTGACAGGATGCACTGATCCTTTCGAAAGGGAGTTCAAAGATGGAAGAAGTGCCGACGATGTGCCATCCACACCACAAGCATTAGTCGAAGCGTTCGACAAATCTGCCTTCAGTGAAACGCTAGATCAAGAAATGAAATCGTACCGTGAACAGATCCAGAAGGAAAAGAAAATATACGATGACTTCGAGATCGCCAACAAAGAGGCAAAGCGCAAGTTTACCTCTGACTCATCTGTATACTCGATTCCTTTCCACTTGCAAACCTGGGCTTTGATGCAACGCCAGTTCCTTCTCAAATGGCAAGACAAGTTTGCTTTGACCGTCTCTTGGGTTACCTCTGTTGGTATTGCTATCATTTTGGGTACTGTATGGCTGAACCAACCCAAGACCAGTGCCGGTGCTTTTACTCGAGGAGGTCTTCTGTTCATCAGTCTGTTGTTCAATGGCTTCCAAGCATTCTCAGAACTTGCAGCCACAATGATGGGCCGCGCAATTGTCAACAAGCACCGCTCGTTCACATTCTACAGACCTAGCGCACTTTTCATTGCGCAGATCATCGTGGACACTGCGTTCGCCATTGCAAGAATTCTCGTATTCAGCATCATCGTGTACTTCATGTGTGGACTGGCTCTTGATGCTGGGGCATTCTTTATATTTGTCTTGATTATCCTCGAGGGCTATGTGACCATGACCGTGTTTTTCCGGACTGTCGGATGCCTATGCCCTGATTTCGATTATGCTATCAAGTTCGCATCCGTCATTATCACATTCTTCGTTTTGACTTCTGGATATCTTATTCAGTGGTCTGGCGCTCAGGTGTGGCTGCGATGGATTTACTTTATTAACCCCTTCGGTCTTGGATTTGCTGCATTGATGGTCAACGAGTTTAGACACCTTACTCTCACATGTACGACAGACTCACTCGTTCCAACTGGACCTGGTTATGGCGACATTGCGCACCAGGCTTGTACTCTGGCGGGAGGCGAGCCTGGGTCAGCAATCATTCCGGGATCCAACTACCTTGCCCAATCCTTCAACTATCTCAATGGCGATCTTTGGCGAAACTTTGGCATCATGATTGCTCTGATTATTGGTTTCCTCTGTTCGAACTTGTATTTTGGAGAAACACTTCAATTCGGCGCAGGTGGTAAAACCATCACTTTCTACCAGAAAGAAAACGCCGAGCGGAAAGAGCTAAATGAGGCTTTGATGCGGAAGAAATCAAACAGACAGGCGAAAGTTGTTGAGTCTGATGAAGGCTCCAACCTCAATATTACCTCCAAGTCCGTGTTCACCTGGGAGGATGTCTCTTACGAAGTGCCTGTGCCCTCCGGCACCCGACGTCTTCTGAACTCTGTTTACGGTTATGTTGAGCCAGGAAAGTTGACGGCACTTATGGGAGCATCCGGCGCAGGAAAGACAACGCTGCTGGACGTTTTGGCGGCTAGAAAGAACATTGGTGTGGTCACCGGCGATATTTTCGTGGATGGCAAGCCTCCGGGCACCTCGTTCCAAAGAGGTACATCTTATGCAGAGCAGCTCGATGTTCACGAAGACATGCAGACAGTCCGCGAAGCGCTACGCTTCTCTGCAGATCTGCGCCAGCCATTCGAGACACCCCAATCGGAAAAGTACGCCTATGTGGAAGAGATCCTCACCCTCTTGGAACTGGAGAATCTGGCAGATGCAATTATCGGTACACCTGAAACTGGTCTCTCGGTCGAAGAAAGAAAGCGAGTCACCATTGGCGTTGAACTGGCGGCGAAGCCTGAACTACTTCTATTCTTGGATGAGCCTACCTCTGGTCTGGACGGCCAATCTGCCTGGAACATTGTTCGTTTCCTTCGCAAGCTAGCAGCAGCAGGCCAGGCTATCCTCTGTACTATCCATCAACCGAACTCTGCGCTCTTCGAAAGCTTCGATCGTCTGCTCCTACTCCAAAGAGGAGGTGAATGCATCTACCACGGCGATATTGGCCATGACTCCGAGATTTTGCTGGATTACTTCCGTCGAAATGGAGCCGACTGCCCTGAGGATGCTAATCCAGCTGAGTGGATGCTTGATGCCATTGGCGCTGGCCAAACACGTCGGATTGGAGACCGTGACTGGGGTGATATTTGGCGCACTTCTCCTGAACTGGATAAAGTCAAAGAGGAAATCATCCGGATCAAAGAAAATCGTGCTCAAGCCGTTCGGGATAATCACGACGAGAATAAGGTGGATAGAGAGTACGCTTCGCCTCTCTGGCACCAGATCAAGGTGGTCGGTCGACGAACACATCTATCATTCTGGCGCTCAAAAAACTATGGCTTCACCAGGCTTTACACACATGTTGTAATTTCCATCATCACGGGTCTTGTATTCTTGAACCTCGATGACTCTCGATCCTCACTGCAATACCGCATTTTCGTTATTTTCAACGTCACCGTCCTCCCAGCTATCATTCTCCAGATGGTCCAACCGCGGTACGATATGTCACGTCTAATCTTCTACCGTGAATCAGCATCAAAGACCTACAGCCAGTTCGCCTTTGCACTGTCACTGGTCCTTGCCGAAATGCCCTACAGTCTCCTGTGCGCCGTCTGCTTCTTCCTCCCATTGTACTACATCCCAGGATTCCAAACCGAGTCCAGTCGAGCCGGCTACCAATTCCTCATAATCCTCATCACAGAAATCTTCTCCGTGACTCTGGGCCAGATGATCTCCGCTTTGACTCCGAACAGCTTCATCGCGTCTCAGCTCAACCCACCGATAGTGATTATCTTCTCTCTATTCTGCGGTGTAGCAATCCCCAAGCCACAAATGCCAGGCTTCTGGCGTGCATGGCTATATGATCTTGATCCATTCACTCGTCTTATCGGCGGAATGGTCGTGACGGAGCTGCAGGGTCGGGATGTGGTTTGCGCAGAGTCGGAGTTGAATCTTTTCAATGCCCCAGACAATCTCACCTGTGGCGAGTACATGAAGCCGTTCTTTGATCGCGGTGGTAAGGGATACATTGTCGATGATGCGGCGCAGGCTTGCAAGTACTGTGCGTACAAGATTGGAGAACAGTTCTATGCGACTTTCAATATGTCGTTTGATAATAGGTGGCGAGATCTGGGTATCTTCGCTGCGTTTATTGTGTCTAACCTAATCATCTTGTTCCTGGCGGTAAGTGGATATATTCTCTGTTTTTGGGCGATATTGGTGATTTTTATACTAATTGGGTTTGATACAGTCTCGCTTCCTGAACTTCAACCGGCGATAAACACATGTTCAGCAACATATGGTCTTGCTAATGCCCCTCAAAAAATTGACTAACCGTAAAGTATCTTTGCGTAGAATGTTCTTTTTATCAAAAGCGCACTGTGTGGTTTAAAACTTAATCAAAAATTGACTGGTTTTTTTTTCTGCTTCATAATGTCGATTACTCCTCACTCCCATTCGTTAGAAGTACATATTTCACATGGTAGTGACTCCGGAACCTTTACTCATGGAAAGCATTACACTGGGGTACTATGAGTGGACTTTTAGGGCTTAGAAGCTTAAAACGCTTGGAATATATATCATACTGGCGCCAATGCGAGAATACAAACTCCGAGAGTAGAGGATACATGAAAGTCTATACAGAACTGCCGAGACTTGATATATTCACCGAAAAAAGCAACACACGAACAGAGAAACCTCGAAGGCCAGCCCGATTAGTGTTGACCCATAGGAAGCCGTGAGATATCAAACCTCATCTGCAAGTCTCCATCATACTGCCAAGTAAGAATTTGGATAATGCGATGTGTACCCCTAGGGAAAGCACCCAAAACCAGGGCACCGACGGCTTTCCCCAAGGACGTCCCCATAATTTCCCGATACTCCTCAGTATCATACAACCATGCCCTCACTTCACTATCTCCAGCAAGCTCAAGCTCATATTTCGGATAAAGCACCTTATCCACAAAAGTATGTGTCTCCTCGTTGACGACCGTCATACGAAAGACATATTTCAGAGAATGTATATCAAAGAAAACTTGGTAGTGAGCCTGAGCGATTTCCGACCATTGAGGTCCATCAAGTCTGACATTGTTATCAGCAAAGATAGCAGTGTGTGCCACACGTCCGTGGTATTTGTTCCAACCCAGGGAACCATCTTTCTCGACTCCGAGTTTGCGAATAAATAGCTGGTGGTAACCCAGTCCAGTGGGCAGATTGAGTGGACGAGGATCGCCAATTTCTTCGGGTGCACCCACCCACTCGTTGCAATATGCGTCCCATCGATGCCTGTCATTGGAGGGATGTATCAGATGGTGCATTTGTAGTGTGGATGGTGAAACGATACATGGTCTTTGGCAGTTTGTGTCTTCTGGGGAATTGATCCAAGACTGATAGTCGGTTCCCTTCTGTCGGAATATGTTGATCATCTCCGTGGTCATTGCGGGGTGTAACTCTAGCTCATCGACGGGGTTTGATTTTGTTTCAGGATATTTATCCTCGAAACAGACAGGCTGTTTGCTGGAGGCTTCCTTTTCTGGATCTTCGGGGTGTCGTTCTCTAAGGACCGAGGTAGTTCCATCTAGGCCAAGGTCTGTGGGAGGAGACATCATATTGATAATGCCAATGCAGAAGCGAAGGCATGGATATGATGAATGTATGAACAGAAAGATGGGGATAGTTGAGGCTACGGGGGAGCTAGAAATGGAAGGTGAGACGGAACGTGACTTGGAACAATTGGTGGTCGAGTAACTGGATAATATCAAGGGCATTAATTCTTAGAGATTTTGTATGCTTTTGCTATCAAACCTATGGCTAGGAGCTTATTCTTCGGACCATTGCTCTTCTGGACTCATGGAATACTTTATTATACTTGAAGTATTTTAGGACTTCGTCTGCAAATATCAGATCAGACTGAAATGTAGTAGAGCAATGATGTATAATCTCAGATTTCATCCTATATATCACGGTGAACTCGACCAAGACTCGGCGCTTTAGGCTAATCTTGCTTACTGACCTTTATCTATAGCCGTGGATATTTATATGCGTATTTCCGTGGTTTTGTTTTATATCTGCACAAAATATACCATGAATAGTGCCATATACGCAAGCTATCCCATCCTGGAGCTATAACAACCGAGCCATGAGATAGCCAAAATTGTGAGGTACCTGCCACGCCACGCCAATGGAGACTTTGTGTTGACATGGGACACGGTGTGAGACAAGGTGAAGCGTGTAGCTGGGAGATGTTGTTCTCCCTCCTGGGTAGGAGAAAAGTCTGCACCTTTGCTTTCGAAGAACTCGTCACCTTTCATGATCATTCAATGCCTTTTCAACACCAAGAGAAACGGGGGATCCATGAATCGTCATCCATCGCTGTAAATCTGCTCCAGGTGAGGCCCTAGCTCTAGAAATTGAATATGACGAAGCTGCGTTGTCAGCTTTGGATGACAGAAGTCGCCCACTAGAGTCAACATCGCCGTTTCGAGTCTAACAAGAGAATTTGTGGTATCAGCAATAATATGCAACAGCCGACACGCTCTCTAGGATCAAACCTACGAAATCGAGCATGGCCATGTGTCTACCATGACAGTATACGGTACTTGTTTTAGGTATCTCAATTTGAATAGGCAACCAACCCTGCAACTACCAGTGGCCGCCTCTTTGGCCCGGGGAGAGCTCATAGACTATAGTGGTGAAATGGGAAATTGGAAGGAATAAATTCTGACTTTCAGGTCACCTAGGGAGGTGGCGATAGATTTGCTACTCTGCGTCCTTTATACTATAACACTGAACTAAATGAGGTCGGGGCCTAGGAAGCACCGCAACTGAGATTATCTGACAATTTTATGGACTCGGCCTTTTATCGCGAATCTATCGGAGCCGATGCTTTGTGGGGTTGATTTTGCGGAGAGAATTGATCTTTTCTAGCCAATAAAACCGCGTCAATCGGCGCCGTTGAAGATTTAGCACATTTAGACGATTTCAGTTACCCACAAAATATGAACATGTCCAATCCCATCAGATCACGTGGATATGTGGATCTAGACGGGGAATCAGGAAGACCGTTAGTGTCTGTTCTCCAAGTTTGTATCTTTAGACTTTACCCCTTTTGCGAGCGAGCTCGTCTGCTAACTTGTCAGCCAACCTCCCCACCTGGGCAGGTTGTTAGCATGACCCGGGACCGAAAATCAGTACCCCGAAGTCGGGCCAGAAGAATGCGGAGGGAGTAGGCACATGGCATGAGAAGCCTGCACCTAACAGCAGGAGACCTTTTTGGACTATTTTGATCGATTCTCTTTTCAAATCTCCATTGGACATTCTTGTCCATCTGTGGTTATTTTTATTTTTTATTTTTCTTTCTTTTTTTGGGACATTTCATTATGGGTCTTGATCGAGACAAACCTGTTGAAACTGCCCATCTGGAGGCTACTCCGGCTTCAATGAATCTCACCGATATAAACAAGTCTGAGCACCCTAGCGAAGTCTCCGGATCTGTTATGAGCCTTAAGATGGCTCTTACCAGTTACAGAAATGCCATGCTATACAGCCTGTTCTTCTGCTTTTCTGCCGTCCTCTGGGGTTACGATATGCAGATCAGCGGAGGCCTTCTTGCCGCTCCCGAGTTCCGCGCCGTGTTTGGCTATACCCAGTCTGATGGCACGACTATCCTTCCGGCGGAATGGCAAGCTGCTTTCAACATGATCACCACAGTTGGTGGAATGGGTGGAAGTCTACTATGTGGTACGATCTCGCCTTACGTAGGTCGAAGGATGACTTTGACCATCGCATGTGTCATCTCCAGTGGCTCCATCTTCTTACAGTTCTTTGCATTCACTCAAGGGGTGCTACTTGCTGGGAAATTGATCAACGGAATCTCACTTGGCATGTTCCTCGTCACCGCTTGTGCGTACTGTTCTGAAATTTGCCCTGTCGTGCTTCGCGGAATCACCATTGGCATGGTCAATCTCTTTGTTGTGGTCGGCCAGCTCCTCGGGAACTGTCTCATCAAGGCTTTCGGTGGGCGATCAGATGACTTTGCGTACAGAATCCCCTTTGCTTTCCAGTGGATATTCCCAGCAATTCTTCTCGCTGGCGTGTGGTTCTGCCCCGAATCTCCATATTGGTACGTCCAAAGGGGCAGGAATACTGAGGCCAAGGAATCTCTCGAACGATTCCAGACTGGCAGAAGCATTGATAGCTGGCTCATTGAGATCCAAGAGACAATTCGCGTAGAAGAGGAATCAGCATCTTCCGCTAGCTATTTGGATTGTTTCCGAGGAACTGACCTTCGTCGAACGCTGATTATCATTTCTGTTTGGGCTATCAACTCTTTCAGTGGTGTCAACTTTGTGCTCAGCTACTCAACCTACTTCTTCCAACGTAAGTTTTCCCAAGTTGACAAGGTATTTATGTTTACTAATGAAGCTTTCCAACTATAGTCGCTGGCATCCCTACTTCTTCATCCTTCGACATGGGCGTCGGTGTGACTGCAGTCGGTGTGCTCGGAAACATCTGCTCCTGGTGGGTCATCAACACCATCGGTCGCAGAGCTCTGTTCCCTGGCATGCTCGTTCTCACTGCCATTCTCTTCATCATTGGTATTCTTGACGTTATACCAGGCTACAACTCCTCCATTGCTATAGGGCAGTGTGTACTGATTATCGTCTGGAACTTCTTCTATGGCCTCACCCTTGGACCTCTTGGATACGTGATCTGTGGAGAGATGTCTTCTACTCGGTTGCGGTCATACGGAGTCAGCATTGGCTTTTTCATGCAAAATGTCTGGGCTTTGATTATAACGATTACCTTGCCTTACATGATAAACCCCGATGAAGGTAATCTCCGGGGCAAGACAGGCTTCATATTTGGGGGATTCTCAATCATCTCTTGTGTCTGGACTTACTTCTCTTTACCAGAGACCAAAGGCAGGACCTTTGAGCAGCTGGATCATATGTTCGAGCAGAAGATCTCCGCACGCAAATTTGCCGGATATGACCAAAGACCACATGAAGGATAAGCTCTAGTCAGCATCTATATCCTGTCCGGGTATCAGTTCCGGTCTCTGTCTTGGATCGATACAGACTACAAAAGAATGCGAGACAGCGGTATATAAGCAGAAAGTACCTACACGTTGGCACCTGTTCCAATTATAGTTTACTCTCGCAACATCAGTATTTATAATTAAATAGATAACATTTAATGTCATTCAGTATATACTAAAACAAGGTTCACACTACCTCGGTAATCATAGCTTACCTAGCGGCTTAAGTGGACCTTGGCGTTATAAATACCGAAGAGGACCTCCAAGGTTCTTGATATTATTATAAAAGAGCGTGTTGTCTTTCCCAATTACTGTATGGAATATTTGACTCAGGTGAAGCTATTGCTGTCATTCATCCATGAGTGCCTTATAAACAAAATTTCCCCTCTTCCTCTCCTTTCGTCGTTCACTATATGTTTCGGCACATTGCTTTCCCCCTTTCAAACTTCACCTTAGAAACCGAGGTTTGAAGACTAACTTCGGTTAAACCTACGCCACTTTAGTATGGGAAAAATGGTGTAGGAACCTGTATATCGCCTAGAGATGGGTCGGGGTAAATAGTAACTTCAACAAGTGACCAGCCAAGCGGCATAATCCCCGATTCCTCGGACTTCCACCGACCAAAACAGTAGCCTTTGTGCTGGACAAACTTTGGCATTCAGCCAGACCTGTTAAGATGGACTAGCGCAATAAACCGAATTGAACTATACTTTGTATCTGACTCTGCTCTACTCGTCAGCCAAGACCAACCTTCCCCACGTCTTGACCGCATCAACTAGCGATACGACCTGTCGGCTCCGCGTGGGGGCCCCATTCTGGGGTCTTCCCCGCAGATGATCCTTTAGCGATTCCCCTTGAGGCAGGTAAGCTCTGAAATTCGCGGGGAAGTACGAGATGGCTGCTCTTTGAGGACTTTCTGGAGTTGTTTTGAATCAAGGGAGGAGACTCGGGGTCGCCCCGAGGTTGTTATTATCATTTTGCGCATTTCTCGTCATGCCAGCATTGCTCCTACGTTTTATATATATATATATATTCCTTCTAGCCCAATTTTATATATCTTTACTCTCCATTCTCCTATTATAAATAATTAACTCCACTATGGCTAACCATGCTCCCCCAGAAAATGTCGACTCAAAGGCCAATATCGCCGAAGTTCCCACTATCAGCCATGCAGAAAGCAACCAAGAACACTCCAAATTTAAGTCTGCCAAAAATGCCGACGGCGACACGGCTATGGCGCTGTTCGATGACCCGGACGAGCTCCACGAAGATGTCGATCCTGTGGAAGCCAGGAAGCTATTGTGGAAGATTGACTTGATGATCCTGCCCTACTTGGCAGTTTGCTATGCGTTTTTCTACATTGATAAGGTCAGTCAGTCTCTTTAATTGAGAACCATTTGGATATTTACTCCTTTTTGACCGAAAAGCGGTGCTAATAGCGTCCATTTTGGAAATAGACAACGCTGAGCTATGCTGCTATTTTTGGAATTCAGGAAGATCTCGATCTACATGGAACCCGGTACAGCTGGCTGAGCAGTATCTTCTATTTTGGTTTCCTGGCATGGGCAT